AGCGTAGGACTAACAAAAAGCGTAGGATGCTAATTAAAAGCGTAGGACTAACAAAAAGCGTAGGATGCTAATAAAAATGTAGGACTAATAAAAAGCGTAGGATGCTAATAAAAATGTAGGACTAATAAAAATGTAGGACTAATAAAAATGTAGGACTAATAAAAAGTGTAGGAAGCTAATAAAAACGTAGGACTAATAAAAAGCGTAGGATGCTAATAAAAATGTAGGATGCTAATAAAAACGTAGGATGCTAATAAAAACGTAGGATGCTAATAAAAACGTAGGACTAATAAAAAGCGTAGGATGCTATTAAAAAGCGTAGGACTAATAAAAACATAGGACTAATAAAAACGTAGGACAAATAAAAAGCATAGGATGCTAATAAAAAGCGTAGGATGCTAATAAAAAGCGTAGGATTAATAAAACATAGGACTAATAAAAAGCGTAGGACTAATAAAAATGTAGAACTATTAAAAAGCGTAGCATTGTCATATTAGGCGTAGGGACTAATAACTAGTGTAATAAAAAGCGTAGGATGCTAATAAGCGTAGGATGCTAATAAAAAGCGTAGGACTAATAAAAGGCGTAGGATACTAATAAAAAGCGTAGCATTGTCATATTAGGCGTAGGACTAATAACTAGTGTAATAAAAAGCGTATGATGCTAATAAAAAGCGTAGCATTGTCATATTAGGCGTAAGGACTAATAACTAGTGTAATAAAAAGCGTAGGATGCTAATAAAAAGCGTAGGACTAATAAAACGTAGGACTAATAAAAACGTAGGACTAATAAAAAGCGTAGGACTAATAAAAACGTAGCACTAATATAAAGCGTAGGATGCTAATAAAAAGCGTAGGATGCTAATAAAAAGCGTAGGATGCTAATATTAGGCGTAGGACTAATAACTAGTGTAATAAAAAGCGTAGGATGCTAATAAAAACCGTAGCATTGTCATATTAGGCGTAGGGACTAATAACTAGTGTAATAAAAAGCGTAGGATGCTAATAAAAAGCGTAGGACTAATAAAAACGTAGCACTAATATAAAGCGTAGGATGCTAATAAAAAGCGTAAGATGCTAATAAAAAGCGTAGGATGCTAATATTAGGCGTAGGACTAATAACTAGTGCAATAAAAAGCCCTGCTTGTTTTCCGTGTTCCTCTGCTCCAACACACCTGGTTTGAATGAATGGGTGATTCTCAGGTGTTTGCAGAATCAGGAAGTGTTAATTCTTTGACTAAATCAGGTGTGTTGGAGCAGAGGGAAAGTAAAACATCAGGGGTGACCCCTACCCTGAAGCTTGAGTTCAGCAGCAGTTCATGAGCTTCAGTTGTTGATGTTGTAACAGTCGTGAATAACTAAGAAATAAGGTCTTGAATGAAGCACAAACAGGGTCAATAAAGGTTTGTGAAGACGTGCAGACCTGGTTTAGGTTCTGCTGTGACCTCATCAGGCTCCTCCCTTTTTGCTGCAGTCAGCAGGATGAAGACGTCGTACACAGAAGATCTGTTGGGGATCGACTTCAGCGCTCCTCCTTCCTCCTCCCACAGCCCCAGCAACCCTTTTCTAAGCTCCTCCTCCTCCTCAGGTATGTAAAGCCACTCCTCCAATCAACATGAACATTGTTAAAGCTCCGCCCCTAAAGGGGCAGTCCAACCTTTCACAGGGTTTTAGTCACAGGTAAGGTGTGGCTGTAGTTTTAGGTTCTGTTTGGTCTAAAAACTGAACCAGAGTCCACGTGGTCCCTGCAGGTACCCCCCTCACTGAGCCCCTCAGCTCTATGATGGGAGCTCTGACACTGGATGGGGGGTCCAGCAGAGACCTGCTTGTTGGTTCTCCTGCATGGACTGGACAGTCAGAACCAGAACCAGCTAAACACGGTTCTGGTTCTCAGTCAGGATCAGCACCTGGACCGGACCTTAAGAAGGTGAACCTTGTTTTTTCTGAAACACGTTATCAGGTGGTCTTGGTGACCATAGGTGGTCTCAGTTTGTGTGTCCTTCCCTCAGCTGGCGGTCCAGTTGTCCCCAGACCAGATGGAGGTCTTCCTGGCTCTGATGACCATACAAGGGCGGAGCTTCAACCCTGATGATGTCATAGAAGCAGTCCAGAACAACCAGGATTTACCCTCAGCCCTCAGGTTCCTGACACACACCTGTCCCATCTGTCATGACCAGGTGTCCTTCAGCAAGGTGAGGTGCCTCATGTGGACCAGCAGAGTCCAGGTGAGGCTGGTCTTCCTCTGAGTTCTTCTTCTCTGCTTGTATTTCCTGCAGATGATCACAATGACTCACTGCTCCTGCTTCCTGTGTCAGAAGTGTTTCATCTCCTTCTTCTCAGTCACCATCAGAGAGAGCAGCGTCCAGCAGCTCACCTGTCCTCTGTGCCGCCGCCCAGAGCTCCCAGTTCAGGGCTGCCTGGAGGGGGCTGTGGACTACTTCAACCTGCTGGACACACAGGTGGGACACGGGGGGGCACGGGGGTGGGG